TGCTCAATATCTATCGTCAGCGTCACCTCGCCGCGAACAACCTTCTTGCCATTACATGCAGGGCACTTGTGCTTTGCGATGCGGCCTTGTCCCTGACAGTGTGGGCATGCCTGTTGTATGTCCTGGTACATGCCCGGACCGAGCTGGAGACGCTGAATAACAACACCATGACCACGGCAGTGGGAACACGTGGTTACACCACTGCCCCGGGAAGCACCGGTACCTTTACATTTTGTACAAACTTTTTGCTTCCCCAGCACAACTGACCTCTGAGTCCCTTTATATACATCTTCAAGTTCAACGTGCAGTGTGCTCTGCGAATCAGACCCCCGCAAGTTTCCACCGCCACCCATGCCAAACAACCGAGCAAAAGGATCCATGGAATGTCCCTGTTCGTTCTGTGCCAACGCCCGCTCCAGCTGCCGCAGACCCTCCTCACCACGCATGTCATACATGCGACGCTTCTTCTTGTCAGTGAGCACCTCATTCGCGCGATTAATCTTGCCGTACATCGCCTTGGCCTCCTCAGTCTTGGCCACGTCAGGGTGGTACTTGCGGGAGAGTTCACGAAACTTTTGCCGCACCTCCTTCTCCGCGGCATTTTCAGTCAAGCCAAGCACAGCGTAGTAGTCCACCTCTTCTTCTTCTTCCGCAGGAGCACGTGCGCCTGCCTTTCCCCTCCCGCCAAAGGCAGCAGTGGGAACGGCAAAGTACACTACATAAAGCAGAAAAAAAATAAGAAGTGTCGGACACGCACATCGAAATTTTCCCGTTATCATCATGGCCAACCTTGTTACTGGCTCAGTAACACCGCTAAACGATGCCGTGCCTTCTTTCCCTCCTAAATGTCTACTTTTTTCCCTCCTTCTTCCGTAAATATAAATATTTCACCGTTGTGTCGGAGTCTCGACCCTCTATTTGGACCAACTGTGCGAAACCGCGTGTGTGTAAGTACTTATATAATTGCGTGTGGGCGTCTATGCCCGTGTTTTTTGTTTCACTTGTTGGAGTCCTTTTTTTTTTTTTCTTCTTCTTCTTTTTTTTCACTGCGAACGCCGGGGCGTCCAATAGCGGGCAACGACCAAACAAAACGTACGAAAACAGAAGAAATAATAATAATAATAATAAAAGATCGCAGACACCGATGCAAGCCATTAAAAAGGGGGAAAAAAGGCAACATAACTGATTCTAGTGGTTCTGTTGTTGTTGCTTTTGTACGTGTTTTTGGTGTTCGTATCCGCTCGAGATTGCATTCACCCCCCCCCCCCCCCCTCTTCCCTCCCATCCCCTTCACTACCCAAGCCGCTGCCGTCGCTCACGATCCAGACTTGCCCGGCATGGGCTTGTAGCCGCTTTGCGCCACGGGCGTCAGCACCTGCTGCCCTAAACGCAGGTTGACGTCCACCGCCCCCGCGGGTGCGCCGCCACGACGACCCGAGCGGTTCTCCTCCATCTGCTCAGCCGACTCCTGCAGCAGCCGATCCTGCTCCTCGCGTGTCACCTCACGTGTTGCTGTGCGTTTAAACATCATCCCGCTGCGCTGCGTGATCATAAGACGCCTCACGTGAAAAGAAAGATTGCTCTCATGCTCGTCAAGCTCCAGAACCCGCGAGATAAACCACTGCTGTATCAACATGTACGGAATTGTTGCCCCCGTCAGCCCGAAGAGTGTCCTTCCAACGCGTGGTATGTTGCGCACTATCCACGACGGCTTGGCTGCGGCTTCCTTGTCATCCATGGTGGCGAACACACGGACAACGCGGTGCCAGGCAAGGCGCCCGCTGAGCCTGTAAACGAGAAAAAAGCCAAGCGGCATTCCCACAAAGGTGCCAAACATCCCCTTTTCAACGAGGCGCATCTCTGACGGGCTCAAATTCTCCTCGTAGTTCTGCAGAAACTTCAAAAAGTCCGCACGCGTGTACGGCCTTGTCTTTTCATCAAAGTTCATCATGGCCATGCCTGCCGTCACGGTGCCGAGTTCACGCACACCGCCACCGCCACCGCGGCCGCTCACGTCGTTTAAAGCCATTAATCCCAAATGTCAATGACAAAATATTCGTGTCAATAAAATCCTCGTGCTCCCCCTCTGCAAACCTGCACCCTCTTTTTTGTTTTATTGAGTAGGCATTGCCCGTGCGTGTGTGTGTGTGTACGCGGGTCAGAGCAACGCCACACATTCACCCAGAAACACACGACACACCCCCATGCGACGCGGAGCAGAAGAAAAGAAGGCGGAAGGTTGAGGCGAGCGTCATTGAAAAAAAAAAAAAGCACGCAGCGACACACAACCAACAGAAAGAAATGGGCATCGAAGGACGGCGCCACAAGAACAATTCAAAACAAAAAAAAAAAAAAGCCGAAGCCCAAGCAGCGGGGAGGGGGAAAACAAAAAAAAAAAAAAAAAAGAACGAATAAGGGGGGAAACACGCTTTCACTCCCTACACACAGACATACGCGGCATGTGCATTCGTGCTGACAAAAAAAGAATGATTACGAAGAGTTAAAAAATAAAAAATAAAAATATGCGTAAATAAGTGAGACATAAAAAAAAGAAAAAAAGAAAAAAAGAAAAAAAGAAAAAGGGGGAAAGATATAGATCGATCAGAAAATCAAGAATGAACGGTGATAACCCCCCGAAAGTGAAGGCTTCCTGTTTTCTCTCACGATACTCACCCAAACAAATAGATGACGGTTCCTCTCTCTCTCTCTCTCTGTTTGCCGGATGAAATTTTTCGTACGTACGTTACCCACATGCGCCTCGGAGTGCCCCGCCCACTCCCCACTCCCGCTCCGCTGACACCCACACAGGAGGGGAAGAGACAAGAGGAAAACAAACACAAAAAGAAAAAAAAAAAAAAAAGAAAGAAAGAAAGAGAAAAAAGAAGCACGTGGTCCCTTTCGTGTTGTAGGCGACAAAAAAAAAAAAAAAAAAAGAGGCGGCAACAACACGAAGGACGATGCTTCCAAAACATGAACACGGCCGCAACAATAACAACGGCAAGCACAAAAATGAGTTGTCAGCAGCAATGCCAACAGTAATCGTCGCAGTAGCCGTCGAGGTGTATTCGTGGGTGGGGAGGTGGGGCGAGCAATAAAAAAAAAAGGGGGAAAACAAAACAGGCGAGAGAAGGTGGCGGGCGTGCATGCACAAAATGTCCCAAATGGCGGTAATTTGTTTCGCATCCCCCTCCAACTCCCACACACACCCCACACTTTTCCTCATAAATTGCAGAAAAATAATAACAATAATAATAATAATGGTAATAGTAGTAGTAATAACAGTAATACTAATAAATGGTAATAAATAGGAAGCAAAAAAAAAAAAACATCTTGACAAGAGGGAAGGACAATTTTGCAACAGAGCTTTCTTTTTCTTCCCCCCCACCCACCACCCACCCACCACCCCGCGCGTTCGCTTCCTTCATGTTTCTTCCTATTACGTGCCTTCTCCGTCATGACCGTTCATCGTAATCACTCAATGTGTGCGGTGATCTCCTGTTGCCGTTGTCCAGGCCGCATGAATTCGTGGGAATTCCCCTCTCACTCACTTCCTTCTCTCCATCACGACACGCAGAAGCCAACACACACACACACATGTGCGTACGTTCCTGTGGTTATCAATCAACGGAAAAGAGAGAATTGGAGGAGCGAGAAGGGAAGCACACACACAAACAAAAAAATGCAAAATAAAAAAATAAATAAATAAAAAGAAATACGATGGGTAGAAACTGTGGAATTTGCCACGCAACACATAATAATAACAATAATAATAAAAATAAAAATAAACAACAATTGTCTGTTCGCTTACTTACGAGTATAACTCATAACAAACCTCGTTTTGTTTTGCGTTTTGGTTTGTTTTCTCCTTCTGCCCTTGAATTTCCTCTCTCACCTATCAGCTGAAATGTATCATCGTTTTCCCTTATGTATACACAGTACATCAATATTCAGAAACAGATATGCGTGGAGATATATATATATATATATATATATATATATACATGCACGAATAAAGAAATAAATAAATATACATATATATATTTATATATTTATTTATTTATTTAGGAAGATACGTTTTTTTTCTTTTGCTTGCTTTTTTTCATTGGCCTTCGTTTCAATAGCATAGAAGCAGACATGCAGCTTTTTCAATGCCCGAATAAAGACCTTGATCATTTGCGTTTCTGTTTGAAATGTTCCAATTTGGAACGTGGCCGGCACCTGAAAGTCCCACGCCTCAACCCCCCTCGCATAATACCTGCTGTCTCACACCACTCTCGGCGTCGCTATGCGCCTGGCTGTTTGTCTCGCATGGAGTTAATTGTGCTGGTGACTCGTCATCTGTCATGGATGATACCGGTTTTGCTTGTTCCGCAGGTTCTGTAAAATCCTCAGGATGCAGCATGCGTGGAGACAGAATTCTGCAGTCCATGGGGCGTGGCTTGTAGCTTGCCACGGACCCCGGTGAAACACAAACTGTTGATACATTATTGCTCACCTCCGGGCTATCGACCAAAATGCCCCCTTTGTATGGGTCCCGCTGAACACGACGCCTACGTGCCGAACACGCAGGTCCATTACCAAAACTTTGTGTCGTCTCCGTTGGTAAATTCACATAATTGTCCTCATTTAAAAAGGGTTGCATCTCAACCGTATACGGTGCATTATACCCCAAGATTTCTGGCTCTAGATGTGGACCACATGCCAACCACGCATTCTCTTCTAGACTCGAGCGATCGTCACCCACAGGACACGGGGGTGTTAAGGCGGGATTCTGCATGCCCGCACCGTTGCCCATATAACCAAAGGCCGTGTTTATTGACGGACATTCATTTTCATCCCATTGCCTTTGATATGCATCGTTCGCATTAGCGGCAGCAGCAGCGGCGGCATTATTCCACATATATCTCTGTATCGTCAACCATTGCATATTAGAAGAATAATAGTCGGAAAAAAACCCACTCATCAGGTCAGCGCGAGGCCCACGTCGTCCGCCCCTATGTGAAAAGATGTCCGCATGCTGCTGCTGCATCAAAGGGAACTGCCGAAGCATAGACCCACGCCTGGAAGTTTTTGCCCACGGTGACCGAGCCGAAGAAAGCTCTTCCATCTTTGAAAAAGGTACAAATGCGTCAATCGGTGCCACAGGTGAAACGGTATTCGTGTTGGCAGTGGCAGCAGCAGTAGCATTAGCAGTTGGAGAATTATTATTTGGAGTAGAAGCCGTTTTTGGCATTGCGCCCGTCCAGTTATGCCGTCGGTGCAAAATGGCCTGCGGATGCTTTTCGTTTTCCATACGCATTTTCACCTGTACTGATGTGCATCCACCAATAGGCTTCCCCTGTAGCAGCACAAAAGCCTCTTTCGCACTTCGGGCATTTTCAAAGGCAACGTTTATGCTTTCCGGGGAAAGACGGTAAAAGTGAAAAATGGTCTGACGTGGAATTACATCCTGAACATCTGCGACAGTTACAGCGCTGCTCACGCCCTGGATATGTAGCGTACATCGAGATCGAGGAAGGGCCTGTGGAAAAGGACCGACACTTAATCCTCTCTGGGTGTTGTGCAGTACTATCTTTTGTGACATGCGCGTGGCGGACACAAATAAGTCTGCCGTTCTCTCGTTGTCCAGTCCGATCGGTATGATTTCACGCACGGCCGGCAGACCCACCAAATACGACATGGGTACCGTGAGACCGTCGTCCATAGCTGCCAAAAGGGACGCCGGGGAGGCGGGATCAGCCGTATCGGCGTCATACACCTCGTGTGCATGATCGCGAAGATAACTCACGGAGAGAAGCTCCTCAAGCACCCTCGAGAGGGCATCCACGGTCTTTTCATCAGAAGCGGTCATTTGTTCTCCAACCTCGCGCAAAGGCGTCAAATTCCTTTTGCATGGCGTCTGCACGTCCTCTTTGGAGGCAAATGACATTTGCTTCTTCCCTTCTCTGTTCTTCCCTTGTCACCCCTCTTTCCCCTCTTTGAATATCCCCCTTCTTTTGGGTGTTTCAAAATTGTTTCCGTCCCGGTCCCCCGCAAATTTTTTGGTAAATATCCTTTCACTTTCTTTGACTCTACGACAAATGCGGGACCGCACACAATAAAATAAAAGAAAAAGAGGGAAAAAAAAAAAAAAAGAAAGAGGCGTAAAACAATTATAATCACAGTAATCATTAAAAAGAGACTCCTTTTCTTCTCCGCTCGGCCACAGGGAGCCAACAATGACACGAAAAAATGAGGGGGCATCTCTATTTTGTAAGCACCTGCAAAGAGAAATGGGGGAAAGAGAGAGAGAGATGGGAGGAAAAAGGGCGAGAAAAGGCGATAGAAGGCGGCCAACGAGGAAGAGACCGACCCCACTCTTCTCTTCCATCTTTTTACCGTTGTTGTTGTTGTTTTTTAATGACGCCCTCCTTTTCTTTTTCCTTTTTTTTTCTCTCCCCTCTTCTTTTCATTCTACTTGTGCTATTTATTTTTCCTCCCAGGTCAATTGATTTTTCTCTCACTCCTCCGTTCCCTTGGCGTTATGTCTCTTCTCTCCTCGTTCCTCTCCGTGTATTGTTCTTGTTGTTGTTGTTATTTTTTTATATTTTTTGTTTTCCTTTTTGTTGTAGTTTTTTTAATTTCGTCGTCACGACCTCCATGGAGAATTAATTTTACTTGACCGCCCTCTCTCGTTCTTATTGCCACACAGACCACACGCGGGTGGAGATTCCCTCTCGGTGCATGTCTCCTCCTCCTCCAGCAGGCATCCAGATAGGCCCCCTCCCCCCAAGTGCCTCCTGTGTTCCTGTTTTTTGTGGTTGTGGTTGTTGTTTTTTTCTTTTCGTCGTGTTTTTTTTTTTTTTGTGTGTGTGTGTTGGTTTCCTCCTCTTCTCTTCACGGGTTCAGCCCTGCGACTGCACAAATCTACCGGCGCTCCTCCTCTTCCTCGGGGTTGAGACGCACACAGTCGTCGATGCGGAGAATCGTGATGGCCGCCTCGGTGGCAAAATGCAGCGACTTGATCTTGCTTGGCTGCGGCTCCAGCACGCCGGCCTCCACGTTGTTGCGCAGGGTCCCCTCGATAAGCTCGAGGCCAAAGAAGCGCTCCACGCCCTGGCTTTTACCCGCCGCCTGCTGTTCGTTGTGCAGCACGCGCAGTCGCGCCACAAGATCCGTCGCGTCCATCGCGGCATTCAAGGCTAAAGTCTTTGGGATGATGAGCAGCGCCTCGGAGAAGGCCGCAATCGCCAACTGCTCGCGCGACCCGAGCGTGTGGGCGAAGTTCTCAAGATAGACAGAGAGCGCCACTTCCATCGCACCGCCACCTGCGAGAACGCGGCTAGCCTCTAACGTGCGTGCCACCGCCCAAAGTGCATCATTCAGCGCGCGCTCCATCTCCTCCAGGACGAGATAGTTGGCACCACGGCAAATGATGCTGGAGCACACCGCATTGCTCGTGCCCGATATGATGATGACATCATCCTCTCCAAAGCGCTGCTCATACACACGCTCCGCTTTTCCGAGCCACTTGGGGTCAAAGACCTCCTCTCCCTCAAGATCTGAGAGTGTGTGCACCACCTGCGCCCCAGTAACCTTCGCAATACGACGCATGTCATCCTTCTTTACACGGCGCACGCCAAGCACACCCTCGTCCACCATGTACTTCATCATACTGTCCTCAATACCCCAGGAAGTGAGAATCACATTGGCACCTGCAGCAATCATCTTCTTGATGCGTTCCTTCGTGATGTCAAGCTCTCGCTGACGAATTGCCTCTGCCTTATTTGGGTCCGTGATGGTGATGTTGATGCCTAGCTTCATCTTCACCGCACGGAGATCAAAATCAATGAGTGCAATACGGGCGTTCTGCACCGAGGTTGGCATGCCCTGCGCCGCACGAGAAAGACCCAAAGCAAAGCCCTGCATGAGTGCTGATTCGCGGGAACTCTTGCCGTGCTGAAGGAGGACACTCACCGCCTTTCTGGGGTACACGACATCACCGAGCTCATTCACCGTCTTGACAGAAAGAATGGCATCCACCACAATCTTGGCAAACAGATCCGCGTCAGAACTGAGAATCTTGCTGCTCATTGAGGTACGTGCAATGTTCAGGAGGACGTCCTTGCCCAAGCCGTCCACCGGCACACTGAGGTTTTCCTTGAGGAAACGTACCGCCTCACGCAAAGCCAATTTGTAGCCTGCAATAATGCTTGTTGCGTGAATGCCTTGCACAATAAGGTCCTGCGCTCGCTTGAGTAGCTCGGAGGCAAGAATGACGACAGACGTTGTGCCGTCACCAATCTCCTTGTCCTGCAACTGCGCGAGATCGACAAGGAGCCGCGCAGCGGGGTGCTCCACATCCAGGCTTTTCAGGATCGTTGCCCCATCGTTTGTAACGCAAACATCGCCAACGTCGTCCACCAACATCTTGTCAAGACCAATGGGGCCGAGTGACGACTTCACAATATTGGCCACTGCCATTGCGGCTGTCACGTTCTCACGGCGCACCGGCAGCCCACTTGTGCGGCTGCCGTTAATCCCTAGTGTTTGCTTCTGCTTCGTCTGCATCCTCTCTCTCTCTCTTTTTATTATTTATTTTTTTTTTTGCTTCTTTTGTTGTTTACAAGGCTTTCCTGAATCAAACTCCTACCAATGTGTAGTTGGGATTATGAAAGTAAACCAGAAAAAAAGGGACATGCCACCAACAGCCAACAGTGCATTCAAAATGCACACTGTGACAAGTGTTCGTGGTAAAATAATATAAACATACAGCAATATATATATATATATCAATCGCAATAGCAACCCAGTTCGTGTCACACTCCGCTAGACATCATCAAGCGGTTTGCGCTCCTTGAAAGTAACGCAAAAAGGATTCCTACAACTACAAGCACCATTGAAAAAATGCTGATTACCAAAAATCCACTTAAGTTCTTCCGCACTGTGGAGTAAACAACGTCGGTGCAGACTACCGGAGACATAGGAGGGAAGGATGGACACAAGGGACAGACAGCATCAACCCACTTGGGTGGGTCAATTGCATCGTAGCATACCCCGGCAACGCAGCAACCGTCACGAAAGCCGGAGCAATTGAAACGCTCTTGTAGTAAACAAATATCATGGTTTCGACCAGTCTTTGTATTATTGACGCCGCGTTTCCATGCGTCCAGAAACTTGCTGGGATCCATCACGGAAACCTGTGTGTCCCGATCATAAACAGCCGCTGCGATAATAAGTGCAAATAGAGCTATAAATAACACAACGAGATAACCAACATATACCAGCAAAAACATCATTTGCCGCTGGCGTATCCACATAAACCCAAGGATGGTAAAAAGACAAAGAATAATCCCAAAAACAAGGGCAGACATCGCAACGTGACCACACGGTTCACAGAGACGAACCGCTGCGTTCTGACGAGCAACAATACCGGACATGACAAGCAGCATAGACGCCATAATAAACGTAAAGTTTATAAATATAAGAGCATACCCAAAAAGAGACTGAAGGACCCTTCGAGAGCCGCGTAACGAGGATTCGCTCTCTCCGCTGCCTGACACCCTGGGAGACTTCTGACGGCCAGAGCTCGCAGCATCGGGGGAGTTTTCAGCCTCCTGTGGTGCAGCTGCTGCAAACGCAGAAATGTTCTTCGTGCTGTTCTTGATGAGCGGCGTCTCTAGCTGGTTCCGCAGTGATCGACTGTGGAGAATATCCTCCACAAAGGAATCATTAGAATTCTCTCGTTCACCACTCTTCATGGCGTCCATCCCACCATCACCCCTATATATAATATTACCCCCACCGCCACCACTACCACAAAAAGTAGGATTTGACGCAAGAAAAAAACAAAAAAAAAAAAGAATGCTCTGTATACATAGATAAATAAATATACGTGCGTACATATATATACATAAAGGAAGAAAGCAACAACCACAAAGCAAGAAAAGAATTGGTCTCCAAATGTAGAGGAGAGATGCCTCTGAATTAGAGAGAGGTACCCCCTGCAAAGGAACCTCACTTCCTCCCCACATCATACCACCCCCTTCTTTTGCCCCCCTCCCCCACTTAAAGTCCTCCTCCTGCCCGATTAGTCGTTTCTCTCACTATTTACACCCTCAATGACTTTATGTTTTGTTTTTGTTTTTTTTTTTTTTTTTGTTGTTGTTTTTTGCCCTTCTTTTGTTTCTGGTGACAATTCCTGTCCATGAATCCGCCCCTCCCATTTATTATTTTTTTTTTTTTCCCACTTAAAAAATAGATTGGTTTTGCCCCTTCTCTTTGGTTGCTTTTGTGTTTGTTTGTTTTGGGAAAAGGAAATTTTCACTCGTCTTGCTGCCTGCGGTGCCTCATCTCCACATGCCACCCCCTGACGGACACGCGCACAAAAACACACACAAACAAAAAAAAAAAGAAATATATATATATCCACACGGCCAAAATAGAGGATTTTTAATAATAAAAAAAAGATAAAAATGCCGGATGCATGTGCCTAAATTTCTACGTCTCCAGAAAGAGAGTCAACAACGCAGAGGGCGGCGCTATCCATTTGTTGCATGCTTGCTTCTCCGCTGCTGCGCTGCAATTCCCCACTGAATTCGCTCTCTTCCACTTTCTGTCTGTCTGCCTTTTCCCACGCCAGCACGGAGAGAAAAGGAAAAAGAGACCTTCTGCATGAGCCGTCGTCCGCGGAGGTCTCTCCCCTTTCCCTACCGTGCCAACAGACGCAGTTGCAGGAACTACATCTTCGACATGGTGTTGGGAGCCTGATCCTGGCGCCTTTTGAGCTCATCCTCGCGCTTCAGAAGCCCTTTAAAGTATTTTACCGTCTTGACCTTCAGCTCCAGCGTCGCATCTTCGTCGAGGCAGAGAACGGCGGAGGGGTGCAACTGCAGGGCGGTGATGGGGTGGACGTGAGTAACACTGCCCTCGACGCACCGCGCCACGGCAATCGCCTTTTTTGATCCTGTCGCAATCACAAGAACGCTCTTCGCCTGCATCACTGTCCTGATGCCAACAGTGAGGGCCATCGTCGGAACCTTGCGAATATCGTTATTGAAAAAGCGCGCGTTAGATGCGATAGTCTCATCGTTCAGGGACTTCACGCGGGTGACACTGTCGAGGCTGCTTCCTGGTTCGTTGAAGGCGATGTGGCCGTCGGTTCCAATGCCGGCAAGAAATAAGTGAATGCCACCCACCTGTCGGATTTTGTCCTCGTAACGCCGGCACTCTTGGATCAAATCAGGGACGGTACCGTCAAGCAGGTTGCGATTCTCCTCGGGGATGTCAACAAAATCAAAGAAGTTTGTCTTCATAAAGTAGAAGTAGCTCTGCGGGTGCTCGCGGGGAAGCCCAACATACTCGTCCATATTAAAAGTAACGACATTGCGGAAGCTGACGCGGCCCTCACGGTATGCCTGGATAAGTCGCTGGTATGTCCTCACTGGAGTGCCACCGGTCGGGAGGCCAAGCACAAACGGTCGCTCTTTTGAGGGCGAAAAGTCGTGAATTCTGTCAACGATGTAACTCGCGACGTAATCTGCGACGGCATCGCTGTCTTGAGAGATCACTATGCGCATCTTGTCTGCGGAAAGATGATGCGTTCAAAAATAGACGTCTGTTGTTGTTGTTGTTGTCTTCCTCTACGCGTGAGATGTGCGATGTATATATATCTATCTCTCTCTTTACTGCCTTCCCTCTCAAATCGACTGCCGGCTGGGAGGATCAGTCCTTCCTTCCTCTTGTTTTATTCTCCTGTGCCCTGTAGACTGCCCGCACGTGACGCAACACATTGAGGCAAAATTTGCGGGGAACCACGCAAAGCAGCAAAGAAATAAAAGGAGTTTGGGAAAAACGGCAATGCCACAAAGAGACAAGAGGGAATGACGCACGCAAAGGCAGAGAAAGGGCAGCGAAGAAGTAAGGGCCAAACAGCAACCGCAACAACAACAACAAAAAGAAGGATTGGTGGTGGTGGTGGGAACCAACGTCGCACTGACGCAATAAAACGCACACACACACACAAAAAAAAAAAAAAAGATACACATATCAATTCACCGAATCCTTTCGTTACATCATTTCCCACAGGCATGTCTGCATCTGCATGTGTGTGTGTGTGTGTGCCTTTGCTCGTTCTCTTCCCCTCCCCTTCTCTCTCTGACTCTCCTTCTCTCCCCGCGTGTGTCCATTCCCTCCTACCCACCCACCCCCACCGTAACACGCAGAGAGCGACGTTCAACAGTGGATAATTGAGGTGCACACACAAAAAAAAGAGAGAAAAGCAGAGAAGAAGAGGGAGGGGAAAAAAAAGAAACGGGCGACTCATACAGAAAAACACAAACAAAATTTGACTCGAAGACAACAACAACAAAAAAAAAAAAAAAACGAGGTGCAAAAACTGTGGGGAACCGTAGTTGTGAAAACGGAAATGAAAATGAGAAAATGAGTTGTACGTGAGCGTACGTCATTGGCAATAGGAAGAAAGAACACAATCACACGGTGCATGTTCATGACAAAAAGCAACAAGACCGTTTCGAACATCGCCACCCTTAAATTGAACGCAAAACGGAGAAAGAGGAAAGACACACATCACACAACACACACAAAAAAAAAAAAAAAAACATGCAAAACATTGATATACTCGATACATAACTGTTGGTGTTGTCGTGTGCATGCCTTCCCCTTTCCCCCCGCCTCTGTTCCCACCCTGGTAAATGTACGTGTCGTTTTTCCCCTACACTCAGGCATCCAAATTCTCCCTCTCCCATTCTCACCCTCAGCTACGGACCAGCAAAAAGACATAGACATCCCCCCATCGCAATTAGACTCCAGAACTAGTATATAAATGTTGCAATCAAAATGGTTACAGAGCCTCAAACAGGACTCGTGCCGCTTACCCAAATCTTTTCTTTCTTTCTTTTTATTTTTTTTTTCTTTTCTTTTCCTCTCTTTATGTTTCTTCACTCTGTTTCTTTCCTCCTCTTTTTCTCTCTTTTCCCGTTTTTAATTTACTCCTTTTCTCTTTCTTTCCGTCTATTCAGCTGCAATTTTTCTTCGTACCTTGTTTTTGTTTTTGTTTTCTTTTTCGTCCTTTTATTGTTACCATTGTTGTGGTTTTCCGTCATTTTTGGTCGTTGTTGTTGTTGTTGCAAGGTTCTCCCAAAAAAAAAAAAGGCGCCGTGCACGTGCATCGTCTGCTGTCAACAAGACGCGTCCAAATGTTTTGTCTATCGTTTTGATGGAACATCATGCAGGGAGCACTTCTGTCCATTCACATTGTGGCGCGAGGTTGTGTTCCCCGAGACTCTTGGAGGCGACGCTGGTGCTCCTCCTGGCAGCGGAGTCCGCTTTGACTGCTTCCTCTTGGACTTCGGGGGATGGTTATTGTTGACGACACCATCCCCGCTGCCGGCGTTCACTGTCGTGGTAGGAGTAGTGGTGTTGGTGTTGGTGTTGGTGGTGGTGGTTGTAGGCACAGTGTTGGTGTGGGTTTTGGGCATGGACTTCGGCACCGTGTTGCTATTGGCATCCCGCAGGACAGACAGCGCATTGAGCGCCACACTACTGGTCGTGGTGAATGCTGTCGACACAGGTGAGCTGCAGCCACTTGGCAGCGCAGGGAACATGGGGTAACCCAATTTAATCGATTTCTTCAGGGACCCCAATTTCCATCCGCCCATTGGATCCGCCTTCTTGCTGGCCATGCCCTGATTCTTCCAATTCTTGCGGGAATGCGTGGATGTTCCCTGCGGCACACCAGACACCTTGGAGCCTTGTTGGCTAGTGGTGGAGGGAGGGTTGAGCGGACCCTGCGTCGAACCGCCGGCCATTTTTAATGTCTGAATGGAACTAATAAGCATCTCCCTGTTGGCTTTATTTTCCGGCTTGGACGTATTTTTGTTGCCATTAAATATAGGCGTAGCCATTGTGTGGTGTGTCTGCATCTGACGGGTGCTAATGCTGGGAAGCTCCCCGGAGTTGTTCACACCTCCATTTATCGCCGTTCCCAAGTAGTGGCTCCACAGCGTCCCCAACTGCTGAAAGGGGGAGGCGCCGCTACACCCATTTCCCAGACTAGCGCCGCCCCGCGATGTCCCTTTATTGCCCAATGACCACTCGTCCTCCGACTCCAGCACTCTCGGCGGCATCGCTAAGAGCGGCAGGAAGACCTCCCCAGTTTCCTCCGGCTCCCCGGGAAATAACGGCGCCTTAGGCTGCACAGCAACGAGACCCGAGCTGTTCGACGCGTCCACCGCTGGTGTTTGACATG